TTTTATTAATTTTTTTGCACCATATTTTTTTTTAAAAATATTATTGATTCTTTACAATTTACATTTCACCATAATTTTTTTTATTAATTCTCTGCACCAAAGTTTTTTTTATTCAAAAATATTAATCGATTCCTTTACAATTCATTATAATTTATTCGGCTTTTAATATATACACTTTTACGGAATTAAGCTTATGGATTTAGCTGATAAACTAGCTGATAATGAATAGATTATTACTGAATTATTTAGGTGATCAAACTAAGACTGTCTGTAAGTTGTACTCTACACTGTTTACAAGAGTTTTACAGTATAATATTTTATGTTATTTATAATATCACAGTTTAAAATTATAATATCATCCTGTCACAGTTGATTACTTATGAACAAATTCGATTGGAGCGCTTGTACGTAACCCGGGGATATATATAGCTAACATCCATACACCTGGAGAGGGTGTAATAAGTACCTGGCGATCTAATATTTTATATATAATTGAGTTAAGCACGTAATGAATTAATTAGTATTTCACATATTTATTATTTATAGCACTTTTTATGCACGCAATCAATTGCCTTAAGAGTAAGAAAACTTATAGTGGCTCACAAGTATTTATTTAATTTGTATTTTTAAATAAAAAATCATTTATGGAAGAGAAAAACATTTCAAGTAAGTAAGTCTCTCAGTGCTGCCTTGTAGGCTGATGCCTCCTGGGATGTGCTTGACTGCAGGAGCAGGATTATAAGTCATTCTCTCCAAGGTGAGAATGGTGGCAGGGGTCAGACTGGACTGCGAATTTAGGGGAAAAATAGGTCAAAGAACAAACAAAAGCCACAAAGTCAGATTTTTGAAGACTGAACAAGAGGGAGGAACACAGTAGTAGAAAGTATAAATCTACCGTGAAAGGCTAACCTTAAGCTGGTGATGGGGACTCTTCAACCGAAAGAACACAACTGGTTCCACTGTGGAGGTTGTATCAGTTCACCTATTCTTTCCATCAAAACTATCCTTCTTCCACAACCACAAGTCACATGACATTGACAACTCTGTGATATTGAATGTGGGCAAGTTTTAGGCAGCTTTCGGCACTAAGACAAGAATATATTTATAGCAATGTTGGCATGGTGGATAGATGGTTCAATATTGCTCAACATTCCGCTGATTTCCTGTGCAGTGATTTCATGAAAACGACTGCCAACCAATTTGTGTCTCTTTAGCTCCTTTCTTGTAGACTAAAATGACAGCAATGAACAGCAGACAGTAGTAAAACTGCAAGTATCTTTAAAAGTTTTCATTTGTTAACTAATGCACAAGAAAAATTGGCCATAGCTAAACCATGGCAAGAGTTGAGTTGCCTATCCAATCAGCAATAGTTTGTTGGACAAACGCGCTAAATATACAAACTTTTGCAATTATTGTGGTATTAAAACATTCAGTCCCTGGTTAGTGATGATTAGCCCAATTCTAGCCTACCCCTCTTTCCCCCCTCATCCTGTCCCTCTCTGGATTTTTTGCTTTTATACCCTTTATTACCCTTTTTCAGATGTCTGCCAGCTGGCCACATTACCCATAGGGTCCTTTTTCCTCTTCATCCTTGTTCTAGTGGTGGGCTGCCTTTACTGGTGGATGTAACAATAACCCTCAACTCTGGTGTCATTAAATGCAATACAACCCATGAATTTGGTGTCAGTGGACACAATAATAACCCACCATCATTGGTGTCAATATTGGTGTCAGTGGATACAGTATTAACCCCTAACATCGGTGTCAGTGGCTTTGATAAAAAACCCTGGTGTCAGTACTAATACCCACTCCACAATGATGATCACTTGCAGTGAAATTTAATCCCTCCACCCCCCCTGTATTGGAGGTCATGGCATTGAAAGTTGGCGTTCCCATCAGAGTCCACCTTACATCAGGGAACCCATCAGAGTCCACTTTACATCATGATCCCCATCGGAGTCCACCTTACATCAGGGTCCCCATCAGCTTCCGCCCTACATCAGGGTACCCATCAGAGTCCACCTTACATCAGGGTCCCCATCAGGGTCTCCCTTACATCAGGGTCCCCATCAGAATCCACCTTACATCAGGGTCCCTATCAGAGTCCGCCTTACATCAGGGTCTCCATCAGAGTCCACCTTACATCAAGGTCCCCATCAGAGTCTGCCCTACACCAGAGTCCCCATCAGAATCCACCTTACATCAGGGTACCGATCAGAGTCCTCCTTACATCAGGGTCCCCATCAGAATCCACCTTACATCAGGGTACCGATCAGAGTCCTCCTTACATCAGGATCCCCATGAAAATCCACCTTACATCAGGGTCCCCATCAGAATCCACCTTACATCAGGGTAGCGATCAGAGTCCTCCTTACATCAGGATCCCCATGAAAATGCACCTTACATCAGGGTCCCCATCAGAGTCCCCCTTACATCAGGGTCCACATCAGAATCCAACTTACATCAGGGTCCCCATCAGAGTCCACATCAAGGTCTCCATCAGACTCCACCTTACATCAGAGTCCTCATCAGAGTCCACCTTACATCAAGGTCCCCATCAAAGTCCGCATTACATCAGGGTCCCTATCAGAGTCCCCCTTACATCAGGGTCTCCATCAGAGTCCACTTTACATCAGGGTATCCATCAGAGTCCACCTTACATCAAGGTCCCCATCAGAGTCTGCCCTACACCAGAGTCCCCATCAGAATCCACCTTACATCAGGGTACCGATCAGAGTCCTCCATACATCAGGGTCCCCATCAGAATCCACCTTACATCAGGGTACCGATCAGAGTCCTCCTTACATCAGGATCCCCATAAAAATCCACCTTACATCAGGGTCCCCATCAGAATCCGCATTACATCCAGATCTCTATAGAAGTCCACTTTACATCAGGGTCCCTATCAGAATACACCCCTGCATCAGAGTCCCCATCAGAGTCCCCCTTACATCAGAGTCCACACCAGAGTCCCCACTTACATCAGCTTCCTCTTTGTATCAGAGTGTACTGAGAATGTGCAAATCAATCGGGAGCCAGATAAAATCTTGTCCAAGGCACACATTATCATTATTATTATACAGGATTTATATAGCGCCAACAGTTTACGCAGCTGTTTGCAACATAGGGGCAGACAGTACAATTACAATACAATGAATACAGGAGGATTCAGAAGGCCCGGCTCCTTAGAGCTTACAAACTAAGAGGGAGGGTCGAGAGATAGAAAAGGTAATTACTGTGGGGGATGGGCTGATGGACAAAATATATGTCCAGTTGTTAGGTGGAGGCAGGATAGGCCTCTCTGAAGAGATGAGTTTTCAGAGATCTTCTAAAAGTGGACAGAGATGGAGATAGTCAGAAACAAGGGGGAAGGGAGTTCCAGAGGATGGAAGTGGTTCTGGAGAAATCCTGGAGGCGAGCATGGGAGGAGGAACAAGGGAGCTGCAGAGCAGGAGGTCTCTATGGACATGATCCATAGTTTGAAGATCCGTGCTTTAGATGATCTCACACTGCAGATATTCAGCAATGACCATACGTAACACTTCTATATAATGTATTCCCTATATAGCAGATCTTCACTTTGTGAGTACAGGTCCTCTTTAGGGGCCCTTATTTTGACAAAACTTTTTTTGGTGGACTCTGAATTTAAGATTTGTACACAACACATAACAGGAGTTATTTAAGTAAGCTGGCATTGAAAAAAATGGCTACCTTTAACTTTTGCAATTTCTTCTTGAAATTTTTCACCTTGCTTTTCCCACAAAACATCTTCCATATATGAATCAGCAAGGAGGAAAGTTCCCCAAACCTTCAGCTATGAAGTGGTTAAAATTAAGCGCACTTTCAGCAATAACAGAGATTTACATTGTATCCCACATTTGTAACCGAGATATAAATGGAATAAAAACATAAGAGTGATACCAAACCTACACAAACAAATAATTAAAAGCTCGCTCATTCATTATACCCGACATTTAAATTACACTTAATGTCCCCGTGTTTGTTTGGTTTGAAACATTTCATGTTGGTGCAATGAAGGGGGATTTTTTTTTTATCGAGTTCTCAGAAGACGACGAAAAATAATCTACTTTGTAAAATTAGTTTTGTTCAATTTTACATGTAAAAACTCCAACGGTTTTAGCTGGCTATTGTCAAACATATACAAGAGAACAGTGGCCAAACCGGCGCCACATCTGTACTCTTGTGACAGTATCGAAATACATATATATATATATATATATATATATATATATATATACAGTATATATACATATTTGGACTTTACAGGTACCAATCAGGGATAACACATAAATAATATCACTTAATGTTTGTCAGTCCCAATATATTATATTTACAACAAAGCATTAAAAAGTTACAGGTTGATACATAATATTTATTGTTTGCCCTTAAGACATTGTTCCATATGACATACCTAACACCATTGCCTCGATAAGTACTTATTTAGAACTTTTGTCATTATACAGTTTATACTACTGTATACTTTTTTTAACCTTTTTACCCCACAGGAACCCTTAAAATAATGTTAGGTGCTGGGGAACCCCTGCTAAAACCAGTTAATTTATGTTTTCGATGAGAAAAATGCCCCTTACTTTGGTGGTCAGGAGGATGACTGCTCCTTACATTGGTGGTCAGTGGGATGAATGCTTCTTACATTGGTGATCAGTGGGAAGAATGCCCCTTACATTGGTGATCAGTGGGAAGAATGTCCGTTACATTGGTGGTCAGTGGGGAAGAATGCTCCTTACATTGATGAATATTGGGAAGAATGTCCCCTTACATTGGTGGACAGTGGGAAGAATGCTTCTACTACATTGGTGGTCAGTGGGAAGAATGCTTCCTGCATTGGTGGTCAGTGGTAAGAATGTCCCTTACTTTGGTGATCAGTGGGAAGATTGTCCCTTACATTGGTGATCAGTGGCAAGAATGCTTCTTACATTGGTGGTCAGTGGGAAGAATGCTCCTTACATTGGAGGTCAGTGGGAAGAATGCTCCTTACATTGGTGATCAGTGGGAAGAATGTCCCTTACATTGGTGATCAGTGGGAAGAATGTCCCTTACATTAGTGGTCAGTGGGAAGAATGTCCCTTACATTGGTGATCAGTGGGAAGAATGTCCCTTACATTGGTGATCAGTGGGAAGAATGTCCCTTACATTGGAGGTCAGTGGGAAGAATGCCCCTTACATCGGTGATCAGTGGGAAGAATGTCCCTTACATTGGTGGTCAGTGGGAAGAATGCCCCTTACATTAGTGGTCAGTGGGAAGAAATGTCCCTTACATTGGTGATCAGTGGGAAGAATGTTCCTTACATTGGTGGTCAGTGGAAAGAATGTCCCTTACATCGGTGGTCAGTGGGATCAATGTCCCTTACATCGGTGGTCAGTGGGGAGAATGTCCCTTACATTGGAGGTCAGTGGGAAGAATGTCCCTTACATTGGTGGTCAGTGGGATGAATGCCCCTTACATTGGTGGTCAGTGGGAAGAATGTCACTTACATTGGAGGTCAGTGGGAAGAATGCCCCTTACATTGGTGATCAGTGGGAAGAATGCTCCTTACATTGATGAATATTGGGAAGAATGTCCCTTACATTGGTAGACAGTGGGAAGAATGCTTCCTACATTGGTGGTCAGTGGGAAGAATGCTTCCTACATTGGTGATCAGTGGGAAGAATGCTTCCTGCATTGGTGGTCAGTGGTAAGAATGTCCCTTACTTTGGTGATCAGTGGGAAGATTGTCCCTTACATTGGTGATCAGTGGCAAGAATGCTTCTTACATTGGTGGTCAGTGGGAAGAATGCTCCTTACATTGGAGGTCAGTGGGAAGAATGCTCCTTACATTGGTGATCAGTGGGAAGAATGTCCCTTACATTGGTGATCAGTGGGAAGAATGTCCCTTACATTAGTGGTCAGTGGGAAGAATGTCCCTTACATTGGTGATCAGTGGGAAGAATGTCCCTTACATTGGTGATCAGTGGGAAGAATGTCCCTTACATTGGAGGTCAGTGGGAAGAATGCCCCTTACATCGGTGATCAGTGGGAAGAATGTCCCTTACATTGGTGGTCAGTGGGAAGAATGCCCCTTACATTAGTGGTCAGTGGGAAGAATGTCCCTTACATTGGTGATCAGTGGGAAGAATGTTCCTTACATTGGTGGTCAGTGGAAAGAATGTCCCTTACATCGGTGGTCAGTGGGATCAATGTCCCTTACATCGGTGGTCAGTGGGGAGAATGTCCCTTACATTGGAGGTCAGTGGGAAGAATGTCCCTTACATTGGTGGTCAGTGGGAAGAATGCCCCTTACATTGGTGGTCAGTGGGAAGAATGTCACTTACATTGGAGGTCAGTGGGAAGAATGCCCCTTACATTGGTGATCAGTGGGAAGAATGTCCCTTACATTGGTGGTCAGTGGGAAGAATGTCCCTTACATTGGTGATCAGTGGGAAGAAGAAAGAAAGAAAGAAAGAAAGAAAGAAAGAAAGAAAGAAAGAAAGAAAGAAAGAGGAAAGAAAGAAAGGAAAGAAGGAAGGAGAGGGGAAAAGGAAAGAAAGAAAGAAAGAAAGAAAAAAAAGACATGTAGATAAGAAGGAAGGAAGCAAAGAAAGACGGGAAGGAGGGAGAGAGGAAAAAGGATAGAAAGAGATTGAGGAAGGCAGGAAGGAAGAAAGGAAGGAAGGGAGGGAGGGAGGGAGGGAGGAAGGAAAGAAAGAAAGAAAGAAAGAAAGAAAGAAAGAAAGAAAGAAAGAAAGAAAGAAAGAAAGAAAGAAAGAAAGAGAAAGAAAGAGAAAGAGAAAGAAAGAAAGAAAGAAAGAAAAAGAAAGAAAGAAAGAAAGAAAGAGAAAGAAAGAAAAAGAAAGAAAGAAAGAAGAAAGAAAAGAAAAAAGGGAAAAGAAAGGAAGGGAACAAGAAAGAAAGAAAGATAGAAAGAAAGAAGGGAGAGAGGAAAGAAGAAGGGAAAAAGGAATAGAAAAAAGAAAGAAGGAAGGGAAGAAGAAAGAAAGAGAAAGAAAGACAAAGAAAAAGAAGGAAAGAAAGAAAAGCATATCACTATTGCAGAAATGTAATTAGTGAGATACAATGAAATCAATTAGTCTATTTTACATGAAAAGACCTTCTGTGGATTTCTACGTTCCTTTGACCCTTTCCCCCAGTTACCATTGCAACCACTGGTGGCATTTATAAACCACGGGTTATGTTTGTTTGTTAGTGTAATCATAGAAAGGTTTAATTTTAAAAGAAAATATATTTCAACAAAACAACTCTAGTTTGTTAAACTTCAATATCCGTGTTTACTTTCCTCCTAATTTGTCATTAGTTGTTCTGATGCAAACTGGATTGACGCCCCCCGGAGAATCGGGCCCTCAAGAAGGCTTGACAGCTATTGCACAGAAGGGACCCGTAGTCTCAGCACCACAGCCGACCTGCTGCAGTGAAAAGATTGGTCGCTGTGCTAGCTGGCTGCAAATTAGTTAATCAGAACCTAT